GAGGTCATGGTGCTGGAGGTACTGGAGCTGCTGCTGGTGCTGGAGGTGCTGGAGCTGGAGGTACTAGAGGTGCTTCTGGTGCTGGAGGTGCTAGAGCTACCACTACTAGAGGTACTGGAGCTGGACAGCCACCGCAGCCTGCTCTACTTGAGACGCTCTCGCCGCAGGCGATTCGTGCGTGGGTCGTTCTGCGAGGCAGTCCTGGTGGTGGAGGGTACGGTCCTGCTGGTGCTGGAGCTACTAGTCCAGGAGTTGCTGCTGGTGCTGGAGGTGCTAGAGGTACTGCTGGAGGTGCTGGAGGTACTACTGGAGGTACTAGAGGTGCTGCTGGTGCAGGAGGTACTGGAGCTGCTAGTGCTGGGGGTACTGGAGCTGCTGCCGGTGCTGGAGGTACTGGAGCTGGTGGCACTGGAGGTGCTGGTGCTCCTAGTGCTGGAGGTGCGGGAGCTGCTGACCCTGGAGGTGCTGGAGCTACTGGTCCCGGAGGTGCTCGTACTGGAGGTGCTGGAGCTGCCGGAGCAGGTGGTACTGCTGGTGCTGGAGGTGCAGGAGGTGCTACTGGAGCTGCTGGCACAGGAGGTACTGGAGGTACTACTGGTGCTGGAGGCGCTGGAGCTGGAGCTGGAGGCACTGGAGGTGCTGGAGGTACTACTGGTGCTCGAGGTGCTGGCGCTGTCGGAGCTCGTGGTGCTGGAGGTGCTGGTGCTACTGGTGCTGGAGGTCTTGCTGGGGGTACTGGAGGAGCTGCTCGTGCTGGAGGTACGGGAGCTACTGGTGCTCTTCGCCACCTTCTCAGTCTTCCGCCAGGTGCTACTGGCTTCCCTGTGGCAGGTACTACTCCTCCGTTGCTGTGTCCGCCAGCGGACCAGTCACAGCCACCGCTGCTACCACACTCCCCACTGCCTGCTCCTGCTCCTTACACTGCGGTGTCAGAGTCCCTGACTGAGCGTCGAGAGCCTGAGACTCGTGCTTCCACCCCTGAGCGTCGAGAGCCTGAGTCTAGCTTTGACCTTGAGCCTGAGCCTACAGCTGCTGTCCGTGCTCGTGTTCCTCGTGTTCGTCGTCCGCGTGCTCCGGCTGTCCCCGGCACTCACGATATGACACTCCGTCCTTCCTCTGTTCCTCAGCGTGTTGTACTACCGTTACCTCCTGCGTCCTCTCTGCCTGACGTTGCTGACCCTCCGTCTGACCTTGCTCGTGCGTCCAGTCCGACTGTTACTCGCCTTCTTGCTACGGTTGTGACGGACCCTACGTTCTCGTCTCCTGCTGCGTCTGCCCTAGTAGCTGAGCTTGTTGACTTTGCTGCTGTGTACCGCCTAGACTACCTTGCGAGTCTTGTCTCTGACCCTGTCCCTGCCTGTCCTCCGTCCGTCGGGGGTGAGACTGCTCTTGGCTGTACTGCCCTTGGCTGTGACGTTCTTGAGGACAGACAGGAGGAGCTGGAGTGCCTTGCTGCCGCTTCACCCCATCACGCGACCATGCTGCTTGCCCCTGAGGGAGACCCGGATGCACTTGACATCCCCACCCCGCGCTCCTACAGGGAGGCGATTTCGGGTGAGTACTCCTCTCAGTGGCAGACAGCCATGGACGCAGAGATGGCTTCCTGGAAGTCCACAGGCACCTACGTCGACGAGGTTCCCCCACCTGGGGCGAACATCGTCAGTGGCATGTGGATTTTCAGGGTGAAGCGGCCGCCGGGTTCTCCGCCTGCCTTCAAGGCACGTTACGTTGCTCGAGGCTTCAGTCAGCGTGAGGGGGTCGACTTCTTTCAGACCTTCTCCCCCACCCCGAAGATGACCACTCTTCGGGTGTTGCTACACGTTGCAGCTCAGCGTGACTACGAGCTGCACTCCCTCGACTTCTCGACAGCTTTCTTGCAGGGTAGCCTTCACGAGGCCATCTGGTTGCGCCGTCCACAGGGTTTCACTGGGTCGTTTCCTGAGGGTACCCAGTGGAGCCTACGGCGACCAGTGTACGGCCTGCGTCAGGCGCCCCGTGAGTGGCACGACACACTGAGGACGACACTTGCGGCTCTTGGGTTTGCTCCTTCGACTGCTGACCCGTCGCTGTTTCTACGCACCGACACTACTCTGCCGCCGTTCTACATCCTCGTGTACGTCGACGACTTGGTTTTTGCTACTGCTGACACTGAGGCACTGGCCCTAGTGAAGGCATAGCTGCAGGAGAGACACACCTGCACTGACCTGGGTGAGCTGCGGAGCTATCTTGGCTTGCAGATCACCCGGGATAGACCACGGCGCACCATCACCCTCACTCAGTCACACATGGTGCACCAGGTCCTTCAGCGCTTCCGCTTCACTTGGTCCTCGCCACAGCCCACTCCTCTGTCTACCGGCCACTCGCTCTCAGCTCCACCTTCGGACGAGTCCGTAGAGCCGAGTGGTCCGTACCCAGAGCTTGTGGGTTGCCTCATGTACCTGATGACGTGCACACGACCTGACCTCGCGTACCCTCTCAGCCTCCTGGCTCGCTACGTGGCACCTGGTCGACACCGAAAGGTGCACTTTGATGCTGCGAAGAGGGTACTGCGTTACTTGTGCAGCACATCGGGCATGGGGCTCGTGCTTGGAGGACGGGGTTCGGTGGTCCTCACAGGACACTCTGATGCTTCTTGGGCCGACGACCAGACGACTCAGCGTTCGTCACAGGGTTACACCTTCAGTCTTGGCGCTGGTTCTGTCTCGTGGAGGTCCACTCGTTCTTCTTCTGTGCTTGGTTCCAGCTGTGAGGCCGAGATCTACGCTGGGGCCATGGCTGCACAGGAGCTACGCTGGCTGACCTACCTGCTGACCGACTTGGGGGAGCGGCCTCGTTCTCCTCCAGTTCTGTACGTCGACAACAAGGCAATGCTTTCCTTGTGTCGCGAGCAGAGACTGGAGCACAGAACGAAGCATATTGCTCTTCGCTACTTCCTTGCGCATGAGCTGCAGCAGCGTGGTCAGCTGCGCCTTGCTTACGTGGCCTCTCGGGCCAACACTGCTGATGTCTTCACCAAGGCCCTTGGGGCTGGTGATCATCACCGTTTCTGCACTGCTCTTGGGCTTGTGCCCACTCTGCCTCACCTGTTGGTTGCTTGACTTGCTCTTGTTGTACACTGCTATATATCTTTATGCCTGCATGTTTTCTCTTGCTAGGTTGTGATCAGTGTACTGCCTTGCTATTATATACCTATGCATGTGAACTGGCCTTGTGGCCACTTGCTTGTGCTCAGAATGCGTGGTGACTTTGTGATCCACCCTGAGCTGTGTTCTCTTCTGCAGACTGGTCTTGTGACCGCTTGTTGTGTTTGCTGTCCCCTACTTTGCCTATGGGGGTGTGTCAGATTACAATTGTATCTCTAGGCTACAGTAGGGTCACTCCTTAGTGAGTACAACACTTTAGGGTTAGGTTTCCCCTACTTGTACTCACCTCTTGCCTAGTCCAATCCATCATTCCTAGTTGTATTCTTGACAAACGCCTTCGGAACTCTACCACGCTTCATCAACGGCGGCAGAGGGGAGCAGCTCCACATTTGTTGACAGTACAGGTTGAAGTATCAACCTTAGCCACCACCACCGCAGAGCCTTTCCCTGGTATTCAGGTTTGGTAAGGTAAAGGTGTTTGGTAAGGTTCCCTGAAGGTGTGTTTTTGGTACCTGGCTCTGCGGTTACGTGGTTGGCATCAGGTTTGTTTTCACATTTCTTGCTTAGTCCGTTTTATTGCATCATTTGTTTACTTTGATTTTACTGACCTGTCTTATTTTCCTCATTGCAGGCTATATCAAAGGACGTTAAGGGAGCCAACGCCTTCAGAACTCTACCACGCTTCATCAACGGCGGCAGAGGGGAGCAGCTCCACATTTGTTGACAGTAAAGGTTGAAGTATCAACCTTAGCCACCACCACCGCAGAGCCTTTCCCTGGTATTCAGGTTTGGTAAGGTAAAGGTGTTTGGTAAGGTTCCCTGAAGGTGTGTTTTTGGTACCTGGCTCTGCGGTTACGTGGTTGGCATCAGGTTTGTTTTCACATTTCTTGCTTAGTCCGTTTTATTGCATCATTTGTTTACTTCGATTTTACTGACCTGTCTTATTTTCCTCATTGCAGGCTATATCAAAGGACGTTAAGGGAGCCAACGCCTTCAGAACTCTACCACGCTTCATCAACGGCGGCAGAGGGGAGCAGCTCCACATTTGTTGACAGTAAAGGTTGAAGTATCAACCTTAGCCACCACCACCGCAGAGCCTTTCCCTGGTATTCTGGTTTGGTAAGGTAAAGGTGTTTGGTAAGGTACGTTTTTGGTACCTGGCTCTGCGGTTAGGTGGTTAGCATCAGGTTTGTTTTCATCCTTGCTAATTCCGTTTTCTTGCATGATTCATTTTTCAGTTCACTGATTGGATTTTGTTCTATTTTTCATGTTTCAGTGGGTGAAGTTTCAGCTGCTAGTTAAAACAGCAGATGTATCTTCTAGTTTCACACTATCTAGCTGAGGCTATGTGTTGTGCATGAAAATACTAACAGATGGAAAATCTGGTTTTCTACCATTTATAAGCTGCCATGATGTTATCACTTTGAATACCATATCACATGCGCAATGCATGCTTCTGAATAGGATATTGGAGATTAGTTCGGGCTTATTACTGAACTACCACAGGTGTGTTTGGTGGTCAGGGCTTGTTGATGCAAGTGCACCTGCAAGAGGCTTGTTGATGCAAGTGCACTTTCAAAAGGTATAAAGCCCGAGTACAGCATGGTAATTTTCAAGTTCAAGATTCTTGAACTTGAAGTCGCCAAAAACAGGGTTACCCTGCTTGTTTTGAAAAAACTCTCGCGACCCCAGGCAATCGTCCTGCGACAACGGTGATTTTGTTTCTGGCGTGCAATATATTCTTCCAAGATGCATGGGCACTAAGAGTGTCAGAAGGGTAGATAGAGGCATGATCCTGATACTTTTGATTGTACCCTTCTCAAGGCCTTGAAAAAAACATGAGGGGAACTGGTTTCACTACGAGCGTGGCATGGGATGATGGGCTTCGGCGAGTTGCTGTGCCAGAAAATCTTCATTGGTGTCACTGCACTACCCAGGGAGAGGGAGGGAATACGAGGGATGGGGAGGGGGAACAAGACTAAAGTCAAACAGGGGAGATAGGGAAGAGGGGGAAGAGGGAAGCAGGGCTGAGAGGGAAAGAAGGAAGTACCGTAAGAAGAGGGAGGGAAATGAGGGGAAGCAAGGGGGGAACTGAGGAGAAGCAGGGAGGGAAATGTGGGGAAGTACGGATGAGGGGAAGAAAGGGTGGGCCATGGGCCTAGAGGGCCGTGAGAGAGGGGGGGGGGTGGACTTGAGGGACGGGAGTGGCAGGCTGGAGGGGAGCAGGAGAGGAGGAGGGGAGTGGCATGGTGAGCAGAGCAGAGCAGCATTGCGACCTGCCTGCAGCGTCATCCCCCACGGCGGAGATGAGGAAGGGCGCGGCGGAGAGTGCTGCCATGCACTCCGCTATGTTGTGCGCCACCCCCCCTGCGAGGAGGAACAGGGGAATGGCGCGGCTGGCAGAGAGAAAGGAAGGAGGAGGGGGGGAGGGGGAGAGGGGGAGGGGCGGGACACACATGAGAGGTTGAGACATGCCGCAGTGGACGACACTCCCCCCTCGAATTCCTTTCTCCTGCCCTCCCTCCCTGCCTCATGCGGGAGGAAGAAAACGGGTGGGGGAAAGGGAGGAAGGGGACAACCATGAGGGGTAGGGGTTGGAAAGGGGCGGGGGCGGGTGGAGGTTTGGCGAGAAGGGGAATAGGAACCAGAGGATAGGGCGCAGAGCATTGGGCGCAGAGCATAGGGCGCAGAGCATAGGGAGCAGAGCATAGGGCGCAGAGCATAGGGCGCAGAGCATAGGGCGCAGAGCATAGGGCGCAGAGCATAGGGCGCAGAGCATAGGGCGCAGAGCATAGGGCGCAGAGCATATGGCGCAGAGCATAGGGCGCAGAGCATAGGGCGCAGAGCATAGGGCGCAGAGCATAGGGCGCAGAGCATAGGGCGCAGAGCATAGGGCGCAGAGCGCAGGGCGCAGAGCGCAGGGCGCAGAGCGCAGGGCGCAGAGCGCAGGGCGCAGAGCGCAGGGCGCAGAGCGCAGGGCGCAGAGCGTAGGGCGCAGAGCGTAGGGCGCAGAGCGCAGAGCAGAGGGGGCAGAGCGCAGGGGGCGGAGGGGGCAGAGCGCAGGGGGCAGAACGCAGAGCGGAGGGGGCAGAACGCAGAGCGCAGGGGACAGAGCACAGGGGGCAGAACGCCGGGGGCAGAACACAGAGCGCAGGGGGCAGAGCGCAGAGTGCAGGGGCGCGGAGCACGTGTACCTGTCCTGGCGTGGTGGTGCCTCGTTCCAGCGCCCTCTCCACGCTGCTTGTCGACCAGACCAGTGCGCGCGCTGGACGTTTGCGGGTCGACGCGCTGCTAGACGACCAGTGAAGTTTGCGTAACCCTAAGGGTCTGCGTAGTGTGGACGCCCCACAGCGTGGAATTGCCCTAAGTAATAGGCACTTTCGAGCCCAGTTTACGGGAGCAATGCCCCGAAACCGTCGACCTACGTGCTGCCAGTGGTAATCGACGTGCCTAATACAACACGAAGTACTCCCATATCGCGCGATGTCGAGTTCTTCTCAACGCTCCTTCCTGCGACCCAGCATGTACGTGTTCTGGCTCGTCACCTACGTCACCTCCTTCCTGCGGTTATTTCACACGTGAAGTTGTTAGCTTGATTGATCGTGGTGTTTTTTCTCCTCACTCGTTCTGAGGTTGTTGGTGCTTCCCGTTTTCGTTTTTGCTAGTTGTTGCATTGGGCGAGGATGTTCTCCACTTCTTGATCCTGATTGGTCAAAGAACAATCCGTGCGACACTCCTTCCAGTCGCCCCACACTGCCCTGCAAGTTTGTCAAAGCTTTGCGTTTGGCGAGACCCCTTTCCTCCTCGTCAATCAATCGCTTTTTCGCTACACTGACTAGGCCGAAATAATTGTTTTTTCAGGTTTCGCCAACACTATTTCAAACCCACATAACTTGATAAAACACCATGTGGTACTCGGGCTTTAAAGATATGCTTGCAAGCTGTTATTGCTGCACCATTGCAGATCAGGTAAGTGTAATTTGTAAATAAACTGCAGTTGATGATCCATTACGGTATGTACAAAGAATGAAAGAATGGTGTGATGCGCTACATAGGCCTGTGCTGGATTGGCGTGCACTGATTTCTTCACGTGGGAGGTGTTACATCTCCAGTCTTCCTGTGTATGCTTCATACATGAGCGCCTGCAGTCCCAACAAGAGATCGGGATTCAGCATTGAAAAAGATGGGGAGATCTTACAATCCACTCGTGATTCAAGACATCAGCTTATAGGAAAGGGGTTGATCTCAACCTGAAATTGTGGGTGCAGAGTTGCCTTGACATGTGCCCAGAAAGAAGAAATGTGGGCCAAGCTGTTAATAAGATCAACACGCACAGTCATATAGGTGTTATTGTGAGCAAGACAAGTTGATGAGATGATTGTAATGGTGATGAGATGCAAGACACGTTCATGAGATGCATGTGATGAGAGGCACCATGCAAGACACGTTGACGAGATGCATGTAATGAAAGATGGTAAAGTCACAAAATCATGTACAACAACACTTGGACAAGTCGCAAGAAAGAAGACAGGAGTAAAACGTGTGGTAAAAAACATTCGGGAACAAGGCGGACAGAAAAGGGGCAGAGACAGAAAAAAGGACTGGAAATGAAGAGAGAGAATGAAACTGAAACCTGTTAATTGCCTTGATGACTGCATGTGCCTCTTCCAAGTCTCGCTGAGTAATCCGACTGAGATACTCCAACAGCAACCCCACACACTGCCTTGTCTCCTCCCATGCCTCCACCTCCCCACCCCCTTCCAACCTTGCCCCGTTATCTCCCCGAGCTGGTGCTGCAAACTGCTGCTCCTTCTGCACTGCCGGCTGCATGCCCCTACTCAGCAACCGGTTTAATCTGAAGAGGTACGAGGAGAGCTGCAGAGACCGCGACGGGAAGAGAAGGCGAAGAGAGGAAGAGGAGGAAGAGGGCTGCATGGATGTCAAACAGCATGCCACAGCAGAGGCCTCGTGCGGTGAGGGCTCATGGGTTCGAGAGGGAGTCGTGACATGAGACGTTGAGGTGGAAGGCAGGGAGGCAAGTGGCCGGTGCAAGGCTTGGAGTAGAAAGTTGTACCATATGAGATGTCCCGATGCTTCTGTGCCTGCGGCTGTGGATGCAGCTGCGGCAGTTGCTGCTGATGCTGCTGCTAATGCTGATGCTGCTTCTTTTGCTCCACTGTCCACTACAACGCTCCCCTCCATAGCAGCTACTGCACCCTTCCCATCCTCCTGCTCCACACCCCCCACATGCATCCCATCATCCCCACATCTGCCAGAAACCATACCGCCATGCGCCTCCCTCTCCCTACCTCTCCCCCTTACCTGCACACTAGAGTTGCCTTTACTCGCCCTTCCACCTCCGGCTTCCCTCATTGGTGAAACGCCACACGCTGTGCGGCATGCAGCGCCACAATCCGCACCATGTGCAGCACAACACGCACCAACACAAGCAGCACTGCACTCATTCAACCGCCCTGGCTCTGCATGCTCAGACTCCCCTGCACTGGCGCCCTGAGCCCTCCTCATGCTACTAAGATCCCGGCCTTGCACCCTAGCTTCTCCCAGGCTGTTCAGAATCTCCCGTTGCAGAGATGGAGAGAGCTCAGCAAGCACTGAAGGGTCGATCTGAGACAGGGACAGCCCCATATGCTGCACACCTGCACCAGGTGCTGCTGCTGCTCCTGCTGCCTCTGCAGGGTCTACTGGGTCTGCTCTTGGTGTAGCATCACCAGCATGCTGCTCAGACGGCACCCCAGTTGTACTGCTCGACTGCCTTGCCACCACTGAAGCAGCCCCCACCGCACTCGAACCACCCACAGATCTTCCCTGCAACGGCCCTGGTGACACTCTCAACTCACTCCTTCCTCCCCTTCCCCTTCCTCTCCCTCTCCCTCGTCCCCTGCCCCGCCCCCTTCCTCTTCCTCTGACTCGTCCTCTCCCTCCACCGCTATCCCCCCTTTCCTCCACGCTTCTTCCGCCCCCACTCCTCCTCCGAGCTCCACTATCCGGCACTCCCCGCACCTCTCCTTCTGAGGGAATACACGTGCGAGAGTCGGTGTGAGAGAGGGGAACGGAACAGGCGGGTGAAGCAGGGCAGGCAGCAGAGGAGCAGGGGCGAGCAGCAGAGACGGGGAGCTGATGGTGGGGTGCAGATGGCAGCTGCTGCTGCTGTTGCTGCCCCTGGAGCAGTGTTGTTCGTTCAGAGGTTGCTCGAGGAAACATGGAGAAGAGAGTGGTCTGCTTTTGCCGCGACCCAGACTGCTCCTCCTCCTGCTGCCTGCTTCTCCTCGATCCCTCCATCTGCGATCCTGATCTGCTGCGATGTCTCTCTTGCCGTTGCGGTTGCTGCTGTTTCTGCTGCTGCTGCTGCAGCTTCGGCGTGGAGGCACTTTGAGATGAGTGCTGAGATGCGGAGTGCTGAGACGCGTCTGCTGTGGCAGCCGAACCGGAATGGCAAGGCACCAGCACATGCTGCTGCTGCCGCTGGTGTGGGTTCTGTATGTGGTGTTGCTGCGCGTGGTGCTGCAGCTGCTGCCTTTCCTGCTGCTGCTGTTGCTGCTTGTACGAGCTCTCCAGTTCTCGCTTCAGAGGCAGTGGTAAGGCATCAAGGAACGAAGCATCCCACTGGCAGATAGCAAGGGTCGCAAATACACCAAGAGTGAAGAGGGCGAAGCACGTCAAATGCACAAAGAGTAAGCACAAGAAGAGTGCAGGAGGAAAAGAAAAGCACGAGGCAAGGGAGGTGGTGCAAGCATGGCATGGCCGCCCAGTGACGCTTCCAGGAAGAGCGGAAGGGGACTCGACCTAGGCCTTTTCCATTCATACAGCACAGAAACAAGCATGCTTTGGTTCAGTTGAACATACCTGCGACATGGGTGGGAGCACATCTGCTGCATCATCCACCCTTCTTGCAGAGCCATTCTGGCCAACAGCTGCTGCTGCTGCTTCTTCGCCACCCACCACTCCTCTCCGATCAATCCTCTCGTCCCCCTCGCCTCTGCTGCTCGCACCACCATTCCCATGGGTGCTTTCGTGTGGCTCTGTCGCTGCACCCACCCCTCTGGCACCACACACCACCTCATCCTCCATGACGCTCCCTTGCACTTGCTTCTCCGCAACCACCTTTCGCCCCATGGGCACCACTGCATCTTCTTGCAATTGCAATTGCGATTGCATCACCCCATCCCCACCCACCAGCCTGTCTCCAATCACGCCACCTCGCCTACCGACATCTGCTCTTTCCACCACTGCTTCTGTCACTTTCCCCTTCTCCTCTGCTTCCTCCTCCTGCCCCTCCTGTTTCATTTTCACCTCTTTCTCCTCATGGCCTCTCTTCTCATCATGCTCCTCCTGCTTCCCTCGCTCCTCCTGATTCCTTCTCTCCTCCTGCTCCTCCAGCTCTAATTCCACCTCCTCTAGCCTCTCCTCCTTGACCATTTTATTGTCCATACCAACTCCATCTCGCAAATCCACACCCTTCCGTTCCCGTTCCATACCTTCCTCCTCTTTCAACGCCCCTTCAGTCCGCTCCCAAACCCCATGCCCACTCCCCTTCTGCTCATTCCCTTCCACGCCTACCAGCCCTCCCCCTTCCCCTGCCACTTCCGCTTCTCCTTTCACCTCCACTCCGTCCTCCTCCTCCCTCTCCTCCTCCACCTCTCTCCTCTGCAACACTGAAACCCTTGACTTCTTACACACCCTCTCAATGCTCCCAAACACCCCACACCCTAGCCCCTTCCCCCCAACAGGCTCCAGCCGAGAAACCTGCAACCCAACCCCCCTCACATCCACCACATTCGCCCCAACCGCCAAAAACAGCGCCCGGGCAGCCCGAAAAAGAGCGTTCGGGTCTGCAGTAGCAGCAGGCCCCAGGCTCCTGGACCGGCTGTAGCTGTCACAGCGACCGTGCCCCATGAACTTGAGAGGCTCTACGGGTTCCCCTTTCGCCCGCACCATCACTTTCACACACACCGACCGCCCCGCCACTCCCGCCGCATGCAGCCGCGTACACACCTCCCCCACCAAGTCCCTCAGAAACTTCTCCGCGTCTTCCTGCCCCCGGAACCGCACCCCCCAGTTGACATCCGCGCCTATACTCTTCCTTGCAGCAGCCACTGGTGCCTGCTGATTGTTCTTCCCCCCTGCCGGCACGACAGCCCGGTCGTCCATGCCTCGGGCATAGCGCCACAGCATGTCCCCCGTCTTGACCCCGTGCTCTGCCTGGAGGGAGGCGCACGAGAGCGCGCGGAGGTCCCCACACGTGCGGATGGAGGCGGCGTGCAGCTTGGATGAGAGCACCCACCCCACGCCATGCAGGTCCAATACTGGCAGTTCTTGCAGGAAGTCTAGAGCCTGGGGGATGAGATCGGAGGGATGGGAGGGATGTGAGATTCGTGATGGGAATGAAGAAGGTGAGGAAAAGGAACAATAGAGAGGAGGGTGGATTGGAAGAAGAGAGTTGGGGAGAGCGCTGGTCAAATCAAATCACCTTGTCCTTGGTGATCCGGAACTGTCCGTTGGGCTTGGCTTTCCTCGTGGCGACTCTAGCAAGCATGATGTTGTGCGCGATGCCAGCGCTGGCAGTGCACCCCGTGCGCGCCTCTATCTCCGCCCGCATGCGCGCCACCACTGCCTCGGGCTCTGCTGCTGCTGCTGCTGCGCCTGCTGCAGTGCTGCTGCTGCTGGTGCTGGTGTTACTGATCGGTGGCAGCTCCAGCAGGGCTTCATCGCAGCTGAGGCATTGCACCACAGGAGCGTAGCGGTGCAGAATGGCGTACACCTGATGTCATGGGCAGTGGAAGAGAGAGGTGGGTGGAAGGGAGAAGCGGGTATTGAGTGGAAAGAGGCTAGGCAGGAACAGAAGAAAGGGAAGTAAGGAAGGAAGGGAGGGAGGGAGGGATGGGCAAAGCGATTGTACAGGACATGGCGACAGACGAGACTGCAAGAGGATCCTGGCCTAGCTAAGAATAGGTTAGGCGCCCAAGACACTGGTCCGCAATTGCACTCACCTCATCCGCCACGCGTTCATACGCCTCGAAGTCGTACGGCAGCAGCTGCAGCTGCGGGCAGCGGCGCCTGGCCTCGCGCAGGAACATGCCCGCCCGCACCCCAAACGCACGCGCCTCATAGCTCGCTGATGACACCTCCGCCGTGCCCCCTGCTGCTGCCGCTGCTGCTGCACTGCTGCCTTTGCCCCCTGCTCCCACTCCTGGTCCCACTCCCACTTCCCCAGCAGCACTCTCATCCACGCCATTTCGGTCAGCAGCAGCTGCCGTGGAGCGAGCAGCAGCAGGGGCGGACCTGCCTGCATTCCTGCCCCTGCCGCCATAGCACACAGCAACGGGCTTCCCTCGGAGGTGCGGGTGGGAGAGCAGTGAGACAGCCACAAAGAAGCAGTCCATATCCACATGCACCACCACTCGCTCCTTGTCTCCCACGCCCTCCTTGCTGCCTGCACCCGCCTTGCTGCCCGTGCCGTCCCCTGCATTCCAAAACGCGCCAGTGTGAGTCACATCTCCGTCTAAGGCCATCTCCTCCTTGCTGCCTTCGCCATGCCGACCCTCATCCCCTGCTTCACCCTCAACCCCCATTCCTCGTCCTGCCTCTTCTGCCCCTTCTGCCCCCTCTGCCCCCTCTGCCCCCTCTGCTCCATCGCCTGTTGTTATTGCTGGAGGGGGTCGGTAGCGGTTGCGCCAAGACCCTATGAAGTGCAGCCGCGAGTGCTGCTCACGGCCATACGAGACACACACAGACACACGGACGGACGCAAGTAGATGCCCTTGAAGCATACAAACACCACAAAGGAACATAATGGCACGGCACACAAGTGCACACAGACACACAGTAACAAAAGAAAACCTTGTCAAAAGGTAATGAACAATCTCATCCACAGACCCATGGCAAAAGCTCCCCCCTTTCTCCCATTCCTCTGCTCACCCGGAAGTAGTTCTGCACGAAGTTAGGGTCCGTCTGTGTGCTGTGCGCCCGCCCTCTCCCACTGCTGCTCGCCTTCCCCAAGCCCACCACCCTCTCCATCTCCATCCCCTGCACGCTGCTGCTGCCCCTCTGCCCAGGCTCTCCCTCCGCCTCCACCTTCACACTGCCCTGCTGCGCCTTATCCCCACTCTCCGCCCCCATCCCGCCTTGACCCTCCGCTCTTGCTGCATCCTGCCTTGCTGCACCACCCTGCTCTGCACCACCCTGCTCTGCACCACCCTGCTCTGCACCACCCTGCTCTGCACCACCCTGCTCTGCACCACCCTGCCCCACACAATGGCTCTCAGTCCCAGAAGCACCACGCCAGCCGTGCCCACCATCGCCCCTCGTCCACTCTGCCCCTCTGTCCACTCTGCTTTCCATCTTGGCGACCATCCCGCCTGCACCTGAGAGTTCTTCCTCACTGCCATCGCCCCTCGCCTCCCACGGCACTGCGCACTTGCTGGTACCCACCCACGCCCCTTCCCCTCTCAACATATCCCTTCCAGGCGGATTATCAGCTTCCAACATCACCCCAACCTGCTCCACCTTCCCCCTTAGTCTTGCCTCCATCCCATTGTCCTTACATTCTTCCTTTCCTTCTCCCTTCGCCTCATCCTTGATGCTTCCGCCACTCAACACACCACATTTAACCACTGAACATTGCTCTCCACTCCGTTCTCCCCCTTCCTTCTCTCGGTTCCCAATCGCCCCACACTCCTCCTCGCCCCCCACTCGCTTCCTCCTCCGGCACGCTTCCTCCACAGCAGCCCAAACCTCCTCCTCCATCTCCTCAGGGAACTCCGACCACACATCTTTAGCACTTTCTCCCCCTCCCTCCCCTCTCTTCCCACCCACTTCACCTCTCCCCCCAATACTGCCCGCGTCTCTCACACCCTCCTTCTTCCCAGCAGCATCCCCACAGAAGCCGCCCCATGCACCTATCTCCACCTTCCTCTCAACCCCACACACATCATCCGTACCAGCCTCCTCAACATTACAACGAAACGATTGTTGAGGCGCCTCAACCTTGGTCACGGCAGCATCATCCATGCATCCACCCAACCAGACACCCCATCCTGCACCTGCCTTCTCATCCCTCACCTCCCTTCGGCCAGCCTCTGCCTCCCTAACTGCAACCTCCGCTTCTGTCCACCCGTCTTGCTTCTCTCCCCCCTCATTCTTGCGTGAGTCCCAAGCACCCCCTTGATCAAATACAGTACCCTGTGTTCTGACACACACTGCTGCTTCTGCTGCCACTGCTTCTGCTTCTGCGTCTGCTGCTGCATGCAAATCTAGCCCCTGGGTCAGGCAGGGAGTGCAGGGAGCAAGAGCTGTGCCGATAGAACCGGCGGCAGCAGCTGCGTTGGCAACAGAAGCAGCAGGCGCAGCGGCAATGGCAAGAGGTGCAGAAGGAGAAGCCGGGTTCGCAGGAACGGCAGCAATGCGAGCAGGAGAGTGCGAGGAAGGGAGTTGCGGCGCGGGTTTAGGGCGGAAGAAGGTAGAGGGGAGGGTCTTCTGATCGGGATGGTCCAAGGCCAGGCGGCGCAAGAAGAATGCGTCCACTGAGAAAACGGTTGTGAAGGTTGGGAGTGGGGTGGAGGATAGATAACGGATGAGAAAGGGAAAAGCAAAGGAGAACACTGCGGGGTTGCTGCAGCGGAAATAAATGTAAAGCAGAGGAGGAGAACTTGACCTGGAAGGAAAACGCCCAAACAAACTTCCAAAAGAGCATCATAGCGAAAGAAAACGCAGACAGACTAGAGGCAGCACAGCACAGGGGTACGTGTGTCGGCGAGGCTTACAGGGAAGCAGCCTGTTGGCATGGATGCAGGCAACAATCCAGTTGGGGTGCACAATGGGAGGCAGCGTGCGCGACCTGGTGCCATGAGGTATCACCACACGCACAGATACACATGGAGACAGACAACAAACAAAGACGGGGAGGGAATGTGGCTACGGTTGGGGCATTAGCAACAAAACCACACGTTTTCTCACCACGACTATGCCATGCTGTTTCCATGTAGCAACCCTTCCCGTTACCCCCTTCTCCCTCTTCCCCCTATCTCCCCCTCTTCCCCCCCTTCGCCCCACCTTCTCGCAGCTGAATCTACCGAGCTGGTCCAGGCCACACACACACACACACCACCTTGCCCCCTTCTCACACACACAGCTCGACTTACCAATGAAGATTTTGAGCGGGGAAAGGAGAGGAGGGCACATGGGAGAAGCGGAGAAATGGAAGGTGAGATGTGGGATGCGTACTTGCGGAACTGCACGAGCTTGGTGTCTGGGAGGTTGGCGCAGATGATGTGCGTGACTCGGGAGGGGTGGAAGTAGTTCTCAAACACGCCTCCATGCACCAGCATCAGCTGCCGTAGCTCCTGGTGGGATACAGACATGCCAGATGGAAAAAGAGTGAGTAAAATACAAAAAAACCAAGGGGATGATGAGCATTGGTATGAAGTAAACTCAGGCTGGCAAGAGAAAGCAGAACACGAAAGCACACGCACGGCACAGGACACGGCACGGAAGGAGGCATGCATGCACAGTGGATCAGGCATGCACATGTGTATTATACCTGATGTGTGGGCTGCGTGTATCCATTCACCCAGATGACCACTCCTTCAAACAGGCGAGACGACCCGCTACTCGATGTACCGCTCTGCACTCCTTGCAACGCTGATTCACCATCCCTTGCTCTCTCATTCCTTTCATACCCCACGCCGCCGCCACTCACGCCACCCTGCCATGACTCCACATGCAGTGCTTCCCAGCGTGTACCAGCACAGCCCTCGTCCGGAACTCTGGGATCACACGCCACATGCCAACCACCATCCGAATCACCCTCTTTTCTGTTTCCACTAGCGCCAGCACCAGCACCATAAGCAGCAGCAGCAATGGCAGGCACTTGGCCATGTTCCTTTATGCTGCCAGGCCCAGGTTCAAAAGGAGTCCAGCCTGCACCGAGTACAGCCTGTTTGGGAGCAGTGAAGCCGTGCAGAGAGGCGAGCTGCTGGGACGAGACTGGCACGTGGGACGGCAGCTGGGGTTGCCTGCCAGTCGGTCAACATGCACCATGCACAGGCACATATCAGGAGATCAGAAGGAAACCATGTCAAGGAAGCTGGAAGCCAGGCTGAAGCCTGAAAGAGCATGGTGAACATGTCTTAACAAAGACTAGTGTTATGCAGGGAGGGAAAAAGAAATCAAAGCTTGCTCTCATTGCTATTGTTCAGGTGGGATAGAAAAAGACTCGCAACGAATTAAAAAAAACCCACTCCCATGCGCAGATGAACCCATAAACCAACTCAAAATGGTATGAAAAGCCAGGCCTCGCCTGGTCACTTACCAGAGCAAGCCGGCAGCTGCCTCCCCCTCGAACTGCAGGCGAAGCTTACGATTCTTCTCGTGCATGTACCTGGTGCACACGCACAGACCTCAGGAATGAGACCGTGGGACAGCAAAGCGAGAAACATCGCCTTCAGGCCAGATGAGCTCAACAATGAACAGCAAAAGCAAACCTACGCACTCGCTCCAGCTAGCGGAAACCAATCTCGACATCAACAAACATCGCACTTCCCTCTGCTCTACGCACAATACATGAATACCAATCAAGCCACGCACCTGCCGAAATCACTACCCCAGACACCCTTCTTCTCCTCCTCCCTCTTCCTCTTCTTCTCCCACTCGCGCAACCTCTCCTTCTCCGCCTCCTTTCTCTCCTCCGCCAACTCCCGCTCCCGCTCGCTCCCCCCCGCTCGTTCCAGCAGCCGCACCAGAGGCCCAGGCGCGGCAGGCCTGCCATCCGCCTCGCTGGTCCGCGGAGATCGAGCGGACCAGATCGTGCCTGCTCTAACCTGGTCGTCCATTCTGCCGCGTCCGTTACCACCCCCCTGTCCACTTCCCCCCGTGTGATCAAGCACATCCTTGCGCAGGCAACTTCCGCCTATACAGTCTCCGCTTGGCTCCATGGTTTTTACGAAGGAGCTGCAGGCGGGGGATAGACGACCAGACATTGCTGAGCTCTTTCTGCGATAAACGAATGCACGGGCTGCAAGAGAATATGGTTCCCATCGGAAGCTGACTCATTACTATGACCTATTTACATGCTAACCGTCGCCGGTTAAACCAGACATACCGACCGTATCTAAGGGAAGTGTTTTCGCAGGAACCGACGACATCGGGACATCGAAAGCTCCTGGATAAACGATTATTTCTCAACCTGCGTAAGAGAATCAGCATGTAGGAATTACTATCAACGACTGGTAATGAATTGGTAATTGTGAAGCGTATCAATCACGCGTTGTGCCACTGCATGGGATGGGAACGCAGTTCGGATCAGGGCAATTTGGGCTACACTAGAGGTAACTTCAAAACTATGAATGGTGTGTATCGTGGATGGTAAGAATATGACGTGTACGCATTATTATGATTGTTCTCCAGTATCACATTCGTTAATGCTGGTGTTTCGCACCTGGTGACCTGGCACGGCAAGTGACCTTGACCGGTTGACTGGCGGTTTGAGAATGGTCTTGATTCCGCGCACGTCCAACCAAAGTGAGACCCCTCCTCACCGCAACCGCGCAACCGCTAGAAGTGGAGCCACAGGTTGCGCGGTGGGGTGGGGGAAGCGAAGGTGGGCTGGGCGGAGATCATTCGACTGTTCGGGCACACAACTGTTGTTCCGTCCAGCAAAAACCCGCTCGCCCACAAGAAACTTCCGCTGAGACATCCTGATGTGCAGTAAAGTACAGTTCTGGCGGGACGCACACCACCACCACCCGATTCCAGAGATTCGGCTTGCCTTTTCTGCGATGATGATAACCCAACCTCATTAGTGATTGGCTGAATGCCGTGGGTCATCCACACGCCGGTTGTCAGAGAGAACACACACCCCAATCGGCGATTCTCTCCGTCCTTCCATCACATCAGGGGAGCAATAGAGGAAAATATTTCCGCCTCTTCTTGACATGTGTTCTCTACTGTTACAAACAGCAACCTCCTCCTCTTCCCCCTCGGTCTAGAATAGACTCTAGATTCCGACGAGGAGGCGTACGGACAGAAACGATCTTGAAGGCCGGTCTCGTGTACCTCCCTAAGCAGCAGTCTTTCTGACGAGCTGCAGCTGCATTCGTGGCTTCTATGCGTTTTTCTCCCTCTCCACCATGTTCCAGCAACTATCATTCGTCCGACTCGTACTTAGAGAGCTCCCTTAGCCCTAAATCCGTGACGACTCTCATTAGTTAACAATCTCGTATGTCCCTATCTTCATCGTCTCTTTCTTAGCAACGATCATGGCCGAAGCGTTCGTCCATGGCCATCCGTTCGATTTGATGGAAGCCCTAGAAGAGGCGGAGCTCACAGGAACCGCCCATCGGACTCATAGCGCCACACCCTGGGACCCCAACGCCTGGGAATGGGACAGCCTTATGCTGTTACCGCACCCCGCCGGCTCGAACCTCCCCACATCCACCACCGAGTCCTCCTACTTTCCGCTAGCACCGTCCAATACCCAACCGCACCACGAGACGCAGCAGGACTCCCCGTTAGACTCCCATTCGCAAGCATTTCCTTCCCTGTTGGAATCCGCTGCGCACGCCTTATCCGCTAAGAACCCCGACGCGGATCTTGCGAACCCCGCGGGGATATTCCCGCAGCTCGATCTAGCCGTCAGTAGAGGCCTCGCGCTGCTTACAGGCGAGGACGAGGGGCTAGAAGTAGGAGAAACGGCCGGCCTTGCGCCTAAGAGAAAGGAGCAGCCGCCAACCGCGGCGGACTCCGAGTGCCCTAATTTCAGAGCGGGTAGGGTGCCGTGCGAGTGCACGCAGGCCGACGCGCAGCTCGCCGTTAAGCGCCAGCGGTTCCACGGCCGCGGAGGGACGACGATCCCAGGCGCGCGCGCGTCGTCAGGGCGCAAGGGGGATAAGGCCGCGCGGAAACGCGGAGCGGAAGCGGAAGCGGCGGGGTCGCAGGCGACCGGGGGGTCGGGTAACCTGCGATGCCTAGTGGACGGCTGTGATGTGCTGCTGTCGACCCTGCGCGAGTATCATCAACGGCATCGGGTGTGCGAGGCGCATGCCAAGGCGGGATCGGTGGTCCATGAGGGCATAGTTCAGCGCTACTGCCAGCAATGCGGCCGGTACGTCTACTCGCTGCTTCCTGTCCCCCGCCCATTACCTCTTCCCCCACTCGCCTCCCGTTTCCCCTCACGCTCTCCCCGCCGTTCCCCTTGTTTGCTTCTCTGTCCGCGCCAGCCCTGCGAACAGCTTCATGTTGCAACCTCCACCTAAGTTTCCGCTACCACGCGCAATTCTCCTTCCTTCCCTCGCCTCCACGTTTTCATTGCTATCGCCACCATTCCCCGCAGATTTCATCCCATCGGCGATTTCGACGAGGCTCGTCGCAGCTGCCGTCGCAAGCTGCAGCGACACAATAACCTGCGAAAACACAAGGCGCTCAAGCCGCCCACCCCCGCCGCTTTCCCCCTCCCGCCGTCCCCGCCCAACACGACCGGGGACGAGGGCGCTTCGCCGGAGAAAAGCAGCAGTGGCGGAAGCGGAGGTGACGGTGTTGGCGGAGAAACCGGCGCAGCGTCGGGGGAGGCGGAGACTAAGCGGAACGTTTCAGGAAGGTGGGCGAGCGACGGGATTGGCCTTGGCGGAGGAGGTGGAGGAAGCGGAGCGGATCGGCGGCAAGAAGGGGTATTTCAGCGAGAAAGGGTGGGGGATGAGGGGACGGTGGGCGGGGAACGCGGGAAGGCGATGCGGGTGCTGGAGGGGGAAGAGGTGAAACAGAAGCTGTCTCTGGTGGCGGACGGCGCGGTGTCGCCGCATGGCGTGGATGCCGCTAGTAAAGCGCGCGAAACCTATAACGAACATGAGGCTCACGGCGTGTCTGCGTCTGCTTCGATGCATAGCGACTCTGGGGACAGCAACGGCGTCGGGGGCGCGAGGGGTGCGCTGGGACAGGCGCGAGGGAAGGGGGACGGCGGAGCGCAGGAGGGGGGAGGAATGGGGCAATGGCAGCAGGGGGAAGGCGAGTGGCGGAGCGGAGGAAGCGGTGGTGCTGCCGGACGCTTGTGTCACTCCCTCCCTTCTGTTGTTCCCTCTCCTGCTGCTGCCGCTGCTGCTCCCCCCCCTGCTGTTGCTGCTCCTCCTGCTGCTGCTCCCGCTGCTGACCCACCTGGTGCTGTTCTTACTGCGGCTGTTACCCCTGCGCCCACGCTTCCTGCCAACACACCAATGGCCCGCTTCGCACCGCCTCCCCCTTCTCCCGCGTCTCGCTCCCTCGCCGGACCTCTTTCCTTCGCTCCCTTTCCCCCCTTCCCCAATCCTCCCCACCAACCTATCTCCGACTCCGCGTGTCCCACCCGCGCGCCCGCAGCTGCGCCTCCCGGCGCCTTGCGCCAAACCTCCGCAGTTTCCCCCACACGTGCGCCCACGCCCCTGCTGTCGCTCCCAGTTCTGCGGGACCGTGCGGGAGCTCGCCAGGCTGATGCTACGGCTGCTACGGGTAATACTGCTCCTGCTGCTCCTGCTGCTGCTCCTCCTCCTCTTCCTCCTGCTGCCTCCGCCGCTGCTGCTGTAGCTGTTGCCGGTGTTGGTGCTGGCAGGGACGTAAACGGTGCTTCTGGCAACGCGTCGTCCCTCGCGCCAAGTGTCGTCGCTCTGCACTTGCAGAACTCGTCACCGCCTCGCGTGGCCAGCGGTGTCGGCGGAGGTGGAGGAGGAGGAGGAGGAGGAGGAGGAGGAGGAGGAGGAGGAGGAGGAGGAGGAGGAGGAGGAGGAGGAGGAGGAGGAGGAGGAGGAGGAGGAGGAGGAGGAGGAGGAGGAGGAGGAGGAGGAAGAGCAGGAGAACGAGAAGGAAGGGAAGCAGCTATTGCAGAGCAGGCAAAGCAGGCAGAGGGTGCTGTGAGTGCTGTGGCTGCTGTGACAAGACCAGGGAAGCGACCGGCTAGCACGCGCATACCAGCAACAGCGGCTGTGCCAGCGGCAGCGGCAGCGGCAGAAGCAGGAGGGGTGCCTGTGAACGGCGCGGCTACTAGCAGCAGGCAGCGGGCGCGCGGCGCGGAGGGGGAGAGGGAGTGCGGGGGAGACGGGGAAGGCGAGGGGTCGACAGGCGTGGCCGCGGGGCAAGAAGCCGCAGGCGGAAGCTGTGCGGGTAGCGCGCGCGAAAGGCCTGCGGGGAAGCCGCGGAAGGAAGGAAGAGGGTCGGTGGTCGGGGGGAAAGAGCACGGGGGAGCAGGGAGGGAGGGTTTCGCGGGGATGGGGAGTGGGTCTATGCAGGGAGTGGTGGGGTTGCCGGTTAGTGCCGCAGGTCCTCAGGGCCCGCATAAAGGCATGGGTATGGGCATGGGCATGGGTATGGGGATGTGCATGGGCATGGGTATGGGAAACATGCCTATGGCGATGGGCATGGGCTTGGGTATGGGTCCGTATGGTATGGGGATGCCCCCTTACGGCATGCCCATGGGTATGGGAATGAACGTGCCGCCTGGTATGGCCATGGGCATGGGCATGGGAATGGGGATGGGCATGGGGATGGGAGTAGGCTTGGGCATGAACATGGGAAATGCGATGGGGGGGATGTCGAGTGAGCATCCCATGCCACCAGAGCCTCTGGGTATGGCCATGGGGGCAATGGGTCCCGCCATGAGCATGGGTCCTGGTGTGGGCATGGCTGCGTTTCCAGGTATGGGCATGCCGCATGGCCATGGGTACATGCGCGCACATGCTGCTCCGGGTCATGCGCATGCGCCTGCATCTGGCATGGGCATGGGTGCGAGCGGAATGCACGCAGCAGGAGCAGCAAGAGGAACTGGAGCAGTAGTAGGAGCAGGAGCAGGTGTAGCAGCAAGTGTAGCTGGGGCGACAGCAGGAGCAGCATCTGAGGCTATGGCGGCAGCATCAGCCGCCGCACAGTCAGAGTCACAATCAGGCCCGATGGAGGGGGCAGGGAGACAGCAGCAGCAACAGCATCACCATCACCATCAGCAACAGCAGCAGCAGCAGGCTGTCCCATGTGCAGGGGCAGCGGGCGGCAGTGCAGTGCAGGGCACGAGTGAGTTTGACACAGGGAAGGAGGCCCAGCCATCCATGGTGAAGGGCGCGGGCGAGGTGCTATCTGGTGCAGGCGATATGAGCATAAGCGCCCAATCCGGCTCTCCTGCCCCTGCTCCTCCTACTGCCGCTGCTCCCGCTGCTCCATCTGCTCCCGCTGCTCCGCCTGCCCCTGCTGCTCCTTCTGCTCCTCCTTCTGCTGCTGCGCCTGCTGCTCCCACGGCTGCACCTGCAGGCTGCTGCAAATCCGCACGTGACCGCTCTGCTCTCCGCCCCATGCCCCTGCGCGCCTCCCCCTCCGTCTCTCCGCTCTCCTCTGATGGGGACGCTGTGGGGAGGACGAAAGAGGGGAGGAGTGCGGATGAGGCGTCGGGGGAGGAGAGTGAGGGGCGGAAAGAGGGGAGGGGGGAGGGAGGGCAGAGTCCAGGCGAGGATGGGCGGTTGGCCTCATGGATGGAAGCTTGCTTGACTTGCACGGATGGCAATGGGCGGAGTGGGGTTGAGAGGGATTTGAAACTGCTGGGAGGGGTGATGGCGCACGGATGCTGCTGTGGTGGGAAAAGTGGTGAGGGGGGGAAGGTGGAGGAGGGAGGGAGCAGAAAAGCAGTGGGAGTGGATGGTGTGAGGAGAGGTGGTAGAGTTACCGGATGCCATGAGGAGGAGTCATCCCAGCTGATGCCGCAGCAGCCGCAGCCACAGCAGCAACAACAGAAGCAGCAGCAGCCGGTACAGGTGCGAGAGCAGGAGATGGAGAACCAGCAGGAGGTCGAGTGTGGAGGGGAGGCGAAGGAGGGGTCAGCGCAAGGCGAGCAGAGAGAGGGGGTGGTGCAGGGCGAGGGGCGCACGGGAGGAGAGAGGGCAGGGGAGGAGCAGCGCACGGGACGCATCTCCCTGAAGCTCTACGACTGGAACCCAGGGGACTTCCCCCGCCACATTCGCCACCAGGTGTGATGCCTCCCTCCTCCTCTCCTTCCTCCTCGTCCGCCCACCTACCCACTCGCGCCTTACTCTGTTGCTTGCTTCCATGCCACCACGCCACCACGCCTGATATGCGATGTCATGGTTGGAATCCTGGGTAACATGATACCATCAAATGCCATGCCACCGCATGACCTCTTTTCCCCCTCTCTTTCCCCCCAAACCCCCTTCTCCCCGCTCCATGCCCGCCCCCACCTCCACCGGGGAGCAGATCTTGGAGTGGCTATCGTGCATGCCGTCGGACCTGGAGGGGTACATTCGCCCCGGCTGCACGCACCTCACGCTCTTTGCTCGCCTGCCCGCCCACGCGTGGTCTCAGGTGAAACCGCCTTGCTGCACTTGCCGCTGCAGATGAGATTCCATTAGTTCACTGCTTTAGCCTGTGAACACTGCCGTGCTTTTCTTGACATGAAAAGGCACTCGTTTCACACCAGCCATCAGTTTTTTTCCCTCATCGCCGTCGCCACCTCCATTCACCTCCAGCTCTGCTGCCTGTGTTTCCCCCTGTGCTCACTTTCTCATCGCCCTTCTCTGCCCCCCTTCCCTCTTCCACCCTTGTTCCCTCTTACCCCTCCCTCGCTGTGTATAACAGATGGAGAAGCACCCCTCGCCATTCCTTCACACGCTGCTCCACCCCTCTCAACCACTCTCGCTCCACTTGTCGCATTCCTCCACCGCATCACCGCCCTCCCCCCTCGCGCCGTCCTCGCCTACATGGTGGGCGGTGGGGTGCATGGCGGTGCAACTCGGCTCGCACACCGTGCAGCAGCGCCTGCTGGTGGACCATGGTCAGTGCACACATGCGTGCATGGGTTCATGGGTGCACATGGGTGCACATGGGTGCACATGGGTGCACATGGGTGCACATGGGTGAATCAATTCATGGGTGCATGTGTGGGATGCACATGGGTGCATGGGAACAGATGAGTGCATGCATGCACGGGTGCATGGGTGCAGATAAGTGCATGGGTGCACATGGGTGCATCAGTTTATGGGTGCATGAGTGCACGCACCAGACCATGCCTCCCCTGTTTCTGCCAATGCCTGTGTCTGCTCTGTTTTGTCTGCTTCTTTACTCGCCATCCCACCCTTTTGACTCGCATCTCCTCCTCCCATCTCCTGATCCTGTGTTACTACCCTTTCGTTCACCCCATGCCCTCCTGCCTTGTGCTGTGCCCACCCTCTTTGCCGCATTCCACCATGCAGGAGTCATCCGTGCCACCACACAGCTCTACCCCTCACCATCCGCCCCTCTCCTCCATCGCCCACGGGGCCTGCTCGCGCTTCCACTCTCCCCCTCGCCCTCCCGCTTGGTCCTGCGAGCATCAAACCTGCCAGCCTCAGCCAGGTGACTTGCGACTTGCCTGCCTGCCTGCCTGCCGTCAACTAATGCATGGATTCGAAAGGGGCAGACAGATGTAAAGATAGCCTTGCACGTGGATGCATGCCCTCTCTTCCTCTCTCTCCCAGCGATTGCATGTCCTCCTCCCACTCCCCCACCCCCTGTGTAAAAAGTGAATTTTTGAGACGTCTCAAAACTGAATTCACTTTTTACACGTGCACTCTCCCAGCGATTGCATGTCCCCCTTTCTCCTCAAAACCTCCTCCCACTCCCCGTTTTGAGTCGACTCAAAACAAGGCTCTCTCCCAGCGATTGCATGTTCCCTTTCTCCTCAAAACCTCCTCGCACTCCCCCACCCCCTCTCCTCTCGTCCTCTCACTCCTTCCTCGCTGCGTCTGCTGCTCTTATTTCAATCAGGGTGCTCTGCTCTCTCGCCGGGCGCTACCTTGTCAACACTGCCACTCACTCGCATACACAAGCAGCACAAGCCCACCATGGCGGCAGCTTTAGCCATGGAGAGGAGAGCGGGAAGATGCGGGACAAGGGACAGCTGGAGCAAGAGGAGGAGGAGCAAGAGGAGGTTGAGGAGGAGCAAGAGGAGGAGGATGAGGAGGATGAGGAGGAAGCAGAAGAGGAGGAAGAGGAGGGAGCAGAGGAGATCTCTGTTGTTGTTCCCCCTCTGACTGTGTGGGGCACGCTTCGTGTTGAGGTATTGCAGGGAGGGTGTGTTGGTTCAACAGATGGTGCAGTGCAGTGAGGGAGCAGCGCACGCACAGCACTCTGCCTGCTTTCATCCCTGCTGCCGACATCACCACCGCGACTACCGCCATCTACCCATGCTGCTTCCTTCTCTCTCTGTCCCTCAAGGCAGCAAACAGCATTCTGTTCCTTGGCCCCTCACTCTCTCTCCCTCACCCTCCTCCCCTCTCTCCCCCCCCTCCCCCTCTCTCCCCCCTCTCCACATCTCTCCCCTTTCCCCCCCTTGCTCCTCCGTTTTACCCCTCTCTCCTCCTCTCCTCACGTCCCACAAACCCCCCTCTCCCCCCCGCCCCTTCCCATCTTCCTGTTCTCCATGCCAGGTGGAAACGTCAGCTGGGCTGTCTCAGCCGCTGCCCCTGCTCGTGGCCCCTGCACCCATCTGCACCGAACTGCACTCTCTTCTCTCGCCCTCCGCCTCTCCTCCCTCCCTCCTCACCATTCTTCCCCGTGCATCCCCTCCCTTGTCCACGCCTCCACTTGCACCGCAACCACTGCAATCATCATTATCATCAGCAGCAGCAGTGTTCACTGACATGTCTCGGCTCGCAGAGATGCTCACATGGGGTGGTGTGTGTCGTTGCCACGACTGCAAATGCGGTCTTGGCTCATGTACTACTGATGTAACTGCCACCCCTGCTGCTGCCCCTGCTGCCGCCCCTGCTGCTTCTGCTGCTGACTCTGAGTTGCTTGTAGGAAGAAATAGTGTGCCTTGTGGTAGGAGCAGGCGTGTGGCCAGTGCAAGGGAGAGCAGCCATGCAGGGGAGGGGAATGTGGAGGAAGGTGATGAGGTGATGAGGGATGGGGCCAGTGAGATGGATGAGGGGGAGCAGCAGGAGGAGGAGGAAGAGGAGCAGGAGCGGCAAAAGCAGGAGCAGGAGGAGGAGGTGGTGGTGAGTGAGTGGGTGGAGGACATGGGATGGGTGCTGCGCAAGCTCACCCTGCCCTTGCCTCAAGCATCCGCAGCCGTGATGAATGTCCAGTGTGAGGTGACTCGCATGCACCGCCTGCTCTCCCATGCAGTCACACACGGGCTGCTCGCCACCTCCTCCGCTCTGCTGCACTGGACTGCCCGTCTCGCCATCATTGCCGCTGCCCATGCCACTTCGCCGCCCTCCTCTGCGCCCCCTGCTGCTGCTGCTGCTGCTGCTGCTAGCACTGCCGCCGCCACAGCTTCAGATGCTACTGTTGCTGCAGGTGCAATTGGTGCTGCAGGTGCGGCAGGTTCTTCTGGTGCTGTTGGTGCTGGAGTGTCTCCTGCGTGCGCGCGCAGGGAGGCAATGGAGGGGGTTGTGAGGGCGGCGGGGTGGGAGGCAGCGAGTGGGTGGTCTCTGCTGCACGCGGCAGTGGCGCTGGGGAATGAACCGCTGGTGGCCCTGCTGCTGCGATTCGGCCGGGGAGACATGGGCCGCGGCGAGCACAGAATCACCAGCAGCCGCAGCAGCAGCATTGATGGCATCTGGAACAGCGCGCGTGGGTCTGGAGACGACTTGTTCGGAGTTGGCATGGAGCAAATGATGCTGCGCGTTGAGTCCAATCCAGCAGCAGCATCACCATCACAGTCACCACCATCACTCCACCAGCCACCGTCCTCCTCCTCCTCTTCTTCCTCGCCCTTCCGGCCATGTTCTCTCGCAATGAATCGTCCCTGGTGGTCGCCAGTGGCAGCAGGGCCAGGAGGAGTTACTGCCCTGCACGTGGCTGCCCGCCTGGCGGCGCTGCCCCCGGCTAACTCGTGTGGGTGCGGGCAGCTGAGACTCAGCGACGCACAGAGGGCTGCAGCAGCCCGCATTGCAGCTCTGCTGCAGGCGTACCTTTACCCCCATGAGGTGACCGTTTCCCCGTCCTCCTCATCCTCCCCATCCTCCTCATTCCCCCCCATCCTCCCCATTCCCCCCATCTTTCCCATCCTCCCCACCCCCATCTGCCCCAACCCACCCACCTCTCTATCTTCCCATCTTTTCCCCATCCTCCATCCCTCTGTCCTTACCCACTCTCATCCATCCATCACCGTTGTCTTCGTTCTCAGTCACCCAAACCCACCCACCTCTGTGATTGTCCTTCCTCCTCTTTTTGCCTCACCCACACGTTCTCCACCGCACCTGCTCATGTGGCCCCTCCTCTCTTTCTCTCTTTCTCTATACGCTCATCTCTCTTCCTGTCGCTCTTTATGCCTTGTCTGCCTTTCGGTCTGTTCGTATATTCTGACCCTGTGAACAATGTGTGCTGCATGGATGGTTGTGAATCTGTGCATGTGTGCATGGCAGGCTGTCTGGTGGACCACAAACGCATCAATCATCACGCAGCAACCAGCAGCACCATCCTCATCACACATCGAAACACCCTCCCGATGTGGCTGTGCATGTGCTTCCACTCTCCTCCCACACACATCCCCATCCCCATCGCCAACCCCATCCACCTCCTCCTCCTCACTCCCTCACCTCTCCTCCAACCAAGCATGCTGCTGCTCGTCAACTCCCCTCACCCCGCCTCGTCTCGCCTCTTCCTGCTGCGCTCCTCCTGGGAAAGCCGCTGCATCGCATCTCCCCTTCTCGCAGCCCCCATCTCATCTCTCTCCCACAGCATTGCACAGTCCGCAAGCAGCCACGCCAGCAAAAGAGTCATCGGCACAGCACATGGAAGAGCCCGTGGTAGCAGCAGGCTCCATATGTATGGTTCAGCACACAGCAGAGCAAGCTGCACCGAAGCTCCTGTCTGCTCTGCCTCCTAGGGGTTGCTGTGGGCCGGCTAGAGGCCTGGCAGCAGCTGGAGAGAGAGGCAGTGAGGGTATTCCCCGGGAAGGAACTGTCAAGCCGTGCTGCAGCAAAGGCCGCAGCATCAGCGGTCGCGGTTTCAGTGGGGGTGGAAAAGCTGGTAGTAGCGCCGCAGTGTGTAACGCACACTTGCAGGTAGCTTACTCGTCCGCACAACCTGCTGTTTTGGAGGGTGCTGGTAGGAACAAAACGTTGGAGAAGTGTTCAGCAGAAGAGCAAGCGGGCAAAACGGCTGAGTTGCTCGCGGAGAGAATCGGGCACAGGTGGGACGAAACGATGCAGAAATGTGCATCAGAAGGAACGGAGACGGGATCAGGGGAGGAAGCAGGGAATGCGGACTCATCTCAAGTGGCCACAGCACAATTAGTACAGGGCACCTGTGCGGAAGCAGTGGCAAGTGCAGAGTGGGCAGAGAGGGCGTGCAAGAGGCAGAGGACAGAGAGGGCGACAGGGCGGTGGGGTTTCCGGGGAGTGAGCAGGACACTGCTGCCTGTGTTGGCGGTGGGTCTGGTGACGTGTGTCTCTCTCACCTTCTGCCAGGCACACTCGTTACCCTCCACTGCTGCTGTTGCTACGCACACTGCTGGAGCAGCACTTACGCCTGTACGTCATCCTGGCTCTGCGTCTGCGCTTGTCATGAGCTTTGTTTGTGCCTTGAGTTGGCGGCACCCCTGTGTTTCTGTTATAATGGCTGTGCTCCTCTTGCTCGTCTCCCTTTCATAGTTGGTCTTTTGAGCCACACACGTAGCTGCTCTCTTAACTATTTTATGGGTGGAACCATTACGCTACTGTGATTTTTAGTTGATCATGTTTCTGGTGCCGTATGTATCAACATGGTTAGTGTCAGAACACGCTCTTAACTCTTGACTTAGTAACTTAGGGTTTACCTAGGAAGCGTGAGCGTCGAGAGTGAGCATGGCAAGAGAATTGGGCAAAGAGAGGCATTCACTAAGGAATGTTTACAAGATATAGGATAGGGGAGAGGATAGGGTACACCACCAGCAGTTGAACCTAATAACTAACTAATACACTAGCAAGCTGTAGGCAGTTAGGATATGCAATATAATTCAACAGTTAGCACCATGCGTTGAACTTAATAACTGCAGTCCTATGCTCGATTAGGTACGGTATATCTCCATCCATGACAGGTGTCACGTGCGGTTCCAGGCAAGAAGCAGAGAGTCTGAATCTTGCCATTTTCAATTGGAATTGTGGAAAGTTATGCAGGGGCTCTAGAAAGAGCTGAGCCTCACACTCTGACCCAGACAAAAGCCAAAAGCTGGAAAGCCAATAGCTGAAAATCCAATAATAGTAAATAGCTGAAGCAGGCCAGTGGAGTAAACCATGGTACTTGCTTGCTTACTAACCATACATCCAATGGGCAATGGACATTTGCACACCAACAAAACCGAAACTCCTGCGTGGCATTACCTGCAGCATCCCACTGTGTCTCTACGCGCCTGTTGCAGGAGCTTAAACTGCCCCCTGGTGATTTAGGCAGCTCAGGCAGATCAGGCACTTCAATTCAAACCCGTTCAGGCCGATCAGAAAGGAGGCGGCTCAGGTGGTTTCGGTGGTGTGAGTGGGTTCATCTGAGCTGAGCGGTTTCAGCGGGGACGTTGGAGGCGCTCTTCTCCTTGGCCTTGTGCAGCTCGAGCACCTTCTTGACCATCTTCCGTTCCTCTGCCTGGAACGCACGCATGATTCTGTGGACGGGGAGCAGAGCAGAGCAGCGAGGGAGAGGGAGGGAGGAGGGGGGGGACGTGCGGGGGAAAAGGGGGAAACGAGGGGTGAACGAAGGAGGGGCATGTGGGGAGTTGAGGGGTGAGCTGATGGGGGTTGGGAGGAGGAGAAAGCACGGGGAAAGCACGGGAAAGGGGGAATCACGGGGAAGAAGAGAAAGCAAGGGAAAGGGGGAATCACGGGGAAGGGGGAAACATGGGGATGGGGGAATCACGGGGATGGGGAGAAAGCACGGGGAAGGGGGAAACTCGGGGATGCGGAGAAAGCACGGGGAACGGGAGAACGGGGAACGGGAGAAAGCACGGGGAAGGAGGAAACACGGGGAAGGGGAGAAGACACGGGGAATGAGGAAACACGGGGAAGGAGGAAACACGGGGAAGGGGGAAACACGGGGAAGGAGAGAAAGCGCGGGGAAGGAGGAATCACGGGGAAGGGAGAAACACGGGGAAGGGGGGAACACGGGGATGGGGAGAAAGCACGGGGCCGGTCCCCCACATCGCCTCTCACCAGTCTTTTGTCACGCACCGCAAAGGGGGAAGGGGGGAAAATGCGGAAAGGGGCTCCAAGAGGTGCCTCAGAGTAACCGCCCGCTTCCCCAGCGTCGCCTCTCGCTGCGGGAAGAGGGGCCGTTCCGCTACGTCGCTCCTCGCCAGTCCATTACCATCTCATCCCCCTCCCAACCACCCCTTCTTCCTCTCTTCTTCTTCCAGCCTTTGCAAACGCGATCCGCTGAGGCGGCACCACCACCGCGATCCCAAATCGACGCTGCTCGTGCGTTCGCATGATAAGTATCCGAAAAAAGGCACTACTAATGCATCCGCAAATCGACGCTAGTATTTCGTCCGCGAAGGTCGCTATCTTGTCCGCAATACACTAGTTCAACAAACGTCAGAACTTACAACTATTACCAACCGTACCGATATCAGAATCACGCAACTTACGCCACGTTATAAAGATCCAATGCAGAACCGCGCCACGTCACGCCGCGAACTAGTCATAGTTACGGTACTAGAGGTGCGAAGCACCCCTGCTAGCGTGACTTTCATTAGCTACGGTCACCACTGACATTAGACTCCCGTACTAACCGAATGAAATGTAACCTTATTACTGACTAACGCTTATATCTGCCATAATCGACAGCCACTATTGGACGGTAAAAATATGCAACGCGGAACTAATCCTGTCTGACTAGATACGACTGGACGCAGTTATGGGAGTTAGGAATGACGGAATGAGGTAAGGAAGATAGAGGATCGTGAGGTAAGGAAGATAAGAGGATCGTGAGGTAAGCGCATGTGAGGTAGACAAATGTGAAGTGTTGTTGATAAGGTTGTGCTGGATGTGCCACGATGGCAGAAACGCCCCCTCATTCCTTTTGACTCGCGCAACTCGTTTTTCTAGCACCCTCTTGCAATTCCAGCTGCCCAACTCGGGTTCGCGAGCAGCAAAACTGGTTGCGAGCGCAGCTGAATACTTGCTTGTTCAATCACGCACACATTTCTGGACCATCCCAACCAACGCCGTCCCGCACCTCACGCAAAAAATTATCGTCGGGAAAAGCGAATAGTAACTAAATGTCACAGCTCCTAACAAGTTCCAGCCTGCCCTAGGTCCATCCGTGCCAAACGTATTTCATCCATCATCCATACCTGGGTGGATGCCAAAACTCTACAACAGAAATACGCGCCATCAACTGTTTCGATTGCAACAAACCATACCAATCGAATCCCAACCAAACAGCAAAAGTGAACCAGGCTGTGAATCGAAGGTGAACAGTCCAACTTGACAACAATCCTGTGTGGTGGAGTGTTTCAAACCCAGTCAAGTGTCAAAATCCCAACCACAAGACCATTGGGATAAAAGGGCTTGTTAAGTAGCGGGTCAGTGCGCCCATAACCCCCTAAGCCAGCGAGCCTGTAACCCTTCCCTAGGATCAATCGGGCATCCCCAGTGTTGGTTTTCAGACACCCCCCCGCACAGGGATGCCCTAGGACACGGCACAGCAGCAGCGCCAACATGTGCACACATGGGGATTCGAACCCGAGACATTCGCTCTGATACCATGTCAAAGTCCCAACCACTAGACCATTGGGATAAAAGGGCTTGTTAAGTAGCGGGTCAGTGCGCCCATAACCCCCCAGGCCAGCGAGCCTGTAACTCTTCCCTAGGATCAATCGGGCATCCCCAGTGTTGGTTTTCAGACATCAAGCACTGTAGGTCTGTCTAGGTATTGGATCTGTGGGAGATCGATGTTTGGGGTGTACAGTAATTCGCTGTGTCTTGTATCCCTTTTTCGTTAGAGTTCGCTAAGACCCGACGCAGGTCACCGAACGCGATGTCTCTTCCAAATCGATCTGTCACCGCGCTCAAATCATACGTATTGCATTCACAACTTTCAAAAAGGCTTCTAACCCCGCTAACTATCGAACCTGAAGACGATCGCGACACATCCGGCTCGGAGGAGATCGATTCTCACAGCTTCGGTGTGTGACCGCGATCCTCCCTCGATGTCGCAGTTGTGACGCGTCCTTGTCAAGATAGCGTCAGAACCTAGGAAGCTAGGTGAGGGTGTTGAAAGTAGCGAGAGGAATAAGGGGTTCAATAAAGAGAGAAGGTACAAGGATATAGGCAAAGCAAGCAAGGTGCACCACCAAACAAGATCAGCACTACACTAAGTCTACACTACAGGCAGTTACAATATAATGCATACAATTATATGTCAAAGTATATGCATGTCATATATGTGTAGGCTGTAGTGGGGTAGCCAATATGGGGTACAGCCCCTTTTAGGGTTTCATACTTGTACCCAACTCTTTCATAGTTCATTCATTCCTGTCTCTAGATTCTGACATGGTATCAGAGCAGTAGGTCCGTAGGACCGTTTTTTTTGGGCCCACCTACCGCTACCCCACGACTGTGGCTGTGACTGTGCCTGTGACGTGCTGCGCTGCGCGCGCCGTCTGCCTGCTGCCTACTCTCTGCTGACTGCGCGGTCTGCTGCTGCTTAGAGCGCGCTGACCTAATTCCTGCGCGCGGCTCGATTTTTGCCCCGCGCGTCGCCAACGCTGCCCGAGTCGCGCCTCGGCAGCCCGCGCGCGGCTCGCTGCTGCTCCGCGCGCCGCGTCCGCAGCCCGCGCGGCTTGCTGCGGCCCCGCGCGTCGCGTCCGCTGCCCGCGGGTCGCGCTGCAGCCCCGCGCGTCGCGACCGCTGCCCGCGCGTCGCGCTGCAGCCCCGCGCGCCGCGGCTGCCCCTGTTCGACGCCGCCCCTGACTGCCGCCGTCGCTTCTGCAGCAGCTGCCGCGGAGCGCCCTGCCGCGGAGCCTCCTACTGCTGTCACGGACCCACCCTGCAGCACTCCTTGCAGCCCCGCCCTGCAGCAGTTCTCACGGCCCCGCCCTGCAGCAGCTGTCGCGGACCTGCTCTACCGCCGACGCGACCCTGCTCTGCCGCAGCTGTCGCGGCCCCGCCGTCGCCGCCGTCGTGTGCCTACCCGGCCGCCGCCCTGCTTGCCCGGCGAGCGCCTGCGCTTCCCGCCACTGGTGAGCACCTACCTTGTTCGCGCGCTGCCGCGTCATCTACCTACCTGTCTGCCTGCCTGCCTGCCTGCCTGCCTGCCTGACTGCCTAGCTGCCGCACCTGCCCTGCCCGCACTGTTACTGCTGCTAGGCTGCTGCTGCTGCTACTGCTGCCGCCTCTGCTACTGCTGTCACTTCTACTACCGCTGCTACTGGCGGTGGCCAGATGCAGCTCCAGCGACGTCCACGCGAGTCTCTCCCGCCCCAGCAGCTACGTGAGTGGTACGCTAGTTGGGGTTGTGGCGGTAGCCGTCGTAGCTGTCGCCCTGGAGCTGGTCAGTTGGGAGCGTCTGGCAGTGGCCAGCTGCAGCTGCAGCGGCGTCCACGCGAGACACTTACGTCCCAGCAGCTTCACGAGTGGTACGCTCAGAGTAGAGGGTCTCGGAGTACCGTTCGCTGCCCATACGTCATTCGCACAGGTGATCGGGCTGGTCAGGCTTGCGGGACACTTGGTCACACACAGTCCCGCTGCTTCGCCCGTCTGAGCGACGCCTGGCGGACCGAGTTTGGCGACGAGGCTGAGCTCCCCACCTGGCTGGAGCTGCTTGGGCAGAGGGTAGATATCTTTGCTCTTGACTATGATGCTATTCTCACTGCCATGTATGCATTGCCTACTAGTGCTGACCGTGCCTGTTCCCTGTGCGTACCGCCTGACCCAGGTATAGAGCCTGCTGCTCTAGGTGCTGGTGAGGCTGCTGCTCTACGTGCTAGTGCGTCTCCTGCTCCAGGTGCTGGTGAGTCTGCTCTCTCTGGTACTGCGACTGCTGAGGCCTTGTACACCTTCACACTTGACTCAGGTGCTTCTCGCTCCTTCTTTCGCGACAGCACCACCCTCACGTCGCTCCGTCGGCCGGTTGCAGTCTCCCTGGCAGACCCCTCTAGGGGTCCAGTCCTTGCGCACTCCTCCACGGTCCTGCCGTGTCCGGCGGTCCCGTCTGGCTCACTGTCGAGACTCCACCTCCCCTCGTTCTCTACGAACTTGGTGAGTGGAGCTGACCTCCAGGACGTGTGGGTTCACCAGTTCACCCCTGGAGGTCAGCGTGTGACCCACCGTACGTGCTCCCGGACGGGCCGGCACCTGGCCACGTTTACCCGTGCGCCTGGATTGAGTCTGTACACACTGACTACTGTGTCCCCTCAGGTCGCTTCGTCTGCGTCTGCGTCAGGTCAGCTAGCGGTCCCCTGCTCGTGTCGCGCTTTGTCGCACCAGACCCTCCTTTGGCACCACCGCCTTGGTCACCCCTCGGTGCAGCGCCTTCGTAGCATGCACCTCCTCTACCACCCTCGCCTGCTCCTCCCTGTCTTCCCTGTGTCGAGGGGCAGCAGCGCGCCGCTCCTCACTCCTCCTCGTTCCCTCCCACAGAGGCTCCCCTGCAGACTCTCCACCTGGACGTGTGGGGCCCAGCCCGCGTCCGTGGACAGGGCCACGAGCGGTACTTCCTGTTGGTCGTCGACGACTACACGCGTTACACCACGGTCTTCCCCTTGCGCAGCAAGGGGGAGGTCCCTGATGTTTTGATCCCCTGGATCCGCGCTGTTCGTCTCCAGCTCCGCGAGCGGTTCTAGTCGGACTTTCCTGTCCTGCGTCTGCACTCTGACAGAGGTGGTGAGTTCTCCTCAGACCTCTTGGCAGCCTTCTGTGCCGAGCACGGCATCCGCCAGACGTTCACGCTTCCGGCCTCTCCGCAGCAGAATGGGGTTGCTGAGCGCCGCATTGGCTTAGTCATGGAGGTCGCTCATACCTCCATGATCCATTCGGCTGCCCCCCATTTTCTGTGGCCGTTTGCGGTCCGGTACGCCGCGCATCAGCTCAACCTCTGGCCCCGTGTCTCCTTGCCGGAGACCTCGCCCACACTGCTGTGGACGGGGAAGGTTGGCGATGCGTCGCGTTTTGTGGGTCTGGGGTGCTCGTGCCTTTGTCCGCGATACCACCGCGGACAAGCTCTCCGCCCGCGCTGTTCCCTGTGTCTTCCTTGGCTTTGTCCCTGACGCGCCTGGTTGGCAGTTTTACCACCCCACCTCGCGCCGTGTCTTCCCCTCTCAGGACGTCACGTTCGACGAGTCGGTTCCCTTTTACCTTCTCTTCCCCTACCGCACTGCCCCTCTCCCCCCCCCCGCCGCTCTTCCTCGCTCTAGGTGCTCCCCAGGTAGACCCCCTCCCCGCTCCCGGTCCTGCTCCTTCAGGTGTGTCTCAGGTAGACCCTCCTC